AAAAATTTCTACACACCGGGCGAGACACAACGACGACGAACCCGTTTGGGAGAGGGTATCGGCTTAATGATTTACAAAATATACAACAGATAAAAATATGAACAATATTAGAGTTATACAGGTATGGACAGTGGTGGCCAGTGTATGTGTCATATAGGGAACGATTGTTAAACTGATAAAGAATATTGTGTGTATAGCGTTCACCTTGACAGCAACAGTACAGTTTTCTGATTACACGGCCGGATATAACGTACGCGCGCCCATTAGCAAAGCAAAACAGTAATCTATCAATATCATAACATTCACATTTTGTCACGTTACAGAAACCCCCCTGAGAAGATTTGACGTAAAACGACAAAACTTCTCAAGAGATTGAACTGACCAAAATGGAATTCAAAAGAAAAGACAAAAAAAATTTGATAATGTAGACTTATTGATTAGGATCTCTGTACTTCCGCAAAAAGATTATATTATATGTTCCCTTAATCTTCCCATTATCAGGATCTTGGAGGACATATGAATTAGTATTTTTGACATCTACAATAATATATGGACCATCATATAACATAAAAAATTTACTGATTATTTTGTCAGCACCTGAACTTAATTTGTGTGATCGCACCAACACAGTATCTCCGATATTAAAAAGAGTGTGTGGACCTATGCGGTCATGACGTTGTTTTCGAGCAAATGCTTTGCTCTTTTGAGATTCACGTGCTATCTCAAACTTTGTTTCGAGCGGAATATCACTACCTGGTGGAAAATCTACTATAGTTTGAATCAATGACTGATGTTTCTCCGGACAGAAAAGTTCAATTGGAGTAAAACTAGTGGACTCGTGAATGGTATTATTCAAAACCCACTCGATATATGAAACGTAGCGAGGCCATTCAGCATGATACTCAGAACAATAAGTACGAAACAAACGTCCTAGTTCTCTCATCACTCGTTCGGTTGGTNCGAAACAAACGTCCTAGTTCTCTCATCACCCGTTCGGTTGGATTTGACTGTGGGTGATAAACACTAGTCAATGTAGGTGGAATTCCAAGCATCGATAACTTAGACTGCCAAACTTTACTAATAAATTGTTTGCCATGATCAGATACTATCATTTTCGGTTTACCCCAGTCCGGTATATAATTATTAATTATTCGATTGATCGTGGCAACACCAGTAGCTTTTTTTAATGGATATAACTGAACAAACCGAGAAAAGTGATCCATTACCACAAACAAATAAGATACTCCATTCCAACCAGCAGGCAATGGTCCATACAAATCAACAAACACACAATCATTTGGAGCATTGTATTAAATATTTTTCATAAGTCCTTCGACTCGACAAGTTTGAGGCTTTGCTCGTTGACACAAATCACAAGAAGACAATAATCGCTTAACAATGCGGTCCATATTATTAAATATACAAAACTGCTTCAACACACCAACACATTTCTTTGGACCAACATGACCATATAATTCATGGAAATTGATAATTGTAGAATTAATATTTGACATAGGTAAGCATATTAACCAATTTCCCGTGGATTGAGATTTACGACGAAATAATATATTATTGTACAACTTATAGCATTTAGATAATTCAAGATCAGGACACGAAGTAGACAGTTTATTAATGATAGAAACTAATTTTGGATCTGATCGTTGATCAACTTCAACCGACGAAAAAATATTTACAATAGATACTGGTAATCTAGGAGGGGTTTCAATTTTAATGGCCATCAGTCTAGGCATGGGTTCTTCAATAACTTCATCTCGGCCGACTGGACTACGAGAAAGCGCATCTACGACGTTCTGTTCTCCCGGACAATGACATATATGGAGGTCATACTCTTGCAATAGCAACGTCCAGCGAGTAAGACGGGCATTACGTAATCGACACTTAAATAGAAATACCAAGGCTTGATGATCAGTTATGACATTTACATGATGACCCAATAAAAAAACTCGAAACTTTGAGCAGGCAAAAACAATGGAGAGTAATTCCATTTCAGTAATTGAATAATTTTTTTCTGCAGAATTGAGTACGCGGCTAGCAAAAGCAATTGTATTACGACAACCAGACGAATCAATTTGAAAAAGTTCAACTCCTAAACCAAGTTTGGAAGCGTCTGTTTGTATACAAAAAGCAGCATTAAAATCTGGATGTACTAAAATAACATTAACAAATGAAGACTTAATAAGTTCAAACTGTTTTTTATTTTCTTCAGTGAATTTCCAAGTTGGTAATGACAACAATTCAATTAATGGGCTCATCAGAGACGCATGGTGGTCTAAAAATTTCCGATAAAAATTACAAAAGCCTATAAAGAATTGTAAGTCTTTTTTATTGCGTGGATTCGGATAATTTTGCACAGCTTCTAATTTACTATTGTCCATGGTCAGACCTTGAGGAGTAATAATATGTCCCAGGAATTTAATTTCTTCTTTGAAGAACTTGCACTTTGATATTTTAAGGGTCATTCCAGATTTAAGTATGTTTTCAAATAACTCTGACAAACACTGCAGGCGATCATCAAAAGACACAGTAGAGATAAGTACATCATCTACATAGGTTTGAATATTATTGATATGTTGTGAGGTAGAATTAAATGAATAACTAGCAAGGGAAGCTTCCAAAGCTTTTCCAAAAGCAGTATTTGATATATTCAGACCAAATGGTACACGCGTAAATGAATATGTACGACCATTATATACAAAGGACACATATTTCCGTACCGTCGGATGAAGTCCAACTTGCCAATAACCAGATGAAAAATCAATAGATGAAAAAAACTTTTTCCCAAAAAATCTTGCCAATATCTCGTCTAGAGGTGGAGAAGAATCTCTCATTGGGACTATAATAGCATTTATACGGCGAGCATCTAAACAAAGTCTAACCGATCCATCTGGTTTTTTCACACAGATGATCGGGCTGGCATAAGGTGACGAACTGCGTTCAATCACCCCCCATTCCAACATACGATTTAATTCTTTCTCGACCGCTGGACGCTGTGAGAATGGTATTGGATACGGCTTCACCTTAAAAGGCTCATCTTTAATAACGTCAAAACGACACGTATACAAGTTGTTTAGCCCAGGTCTGTCGTTAAAAACAGCCCGATAGGTAAACAACACTTCAGACAATTTGGCTTTGTGCTCAACACTTAAATTTATTATGGATTCAACCTGGTGACGGATATCGTCCATTACAGGGTTGATTAAGTCAGTCATACGATACATGCACACTGGATTCTCCATAGAAGGAGAAACCACAGACACCCTTTGAGTCTCTGACACTGACTGGTCAGGCTCAGACATATATACAGAAACGGGAGAAGCATGCAATTTAATTGAAGATAATTTTAAATCATTATCATCACTAGAATTAGAAAAAAATGGCACCTCAATGCCTAGTAAAGAAAATTTAATCAAATTGCTAGAATAATCTAACAAGACAAGGTATTTGTGAAGAAGATCTTCACCAATAATAAAAGGTACCGATAGCTGCGGTACAACAAGAAAAATACCCTCAATGGAGCAATCAGAAATAAATAAAGATAAAAGAACTTGAGTGTGAACTTTCTTGCTACGACCACCGACAGCCGTGGAGATGGTAACTCCAGTTACAGGTAATTGAGGTAATAATTTTACATTGTCAACAGTTTCACATAACTGTTGAAAAACTTTCTCTGAAATAGCAGAACATGTAGCACCTGTATCTAGAAGAGCACGATAATTTAAATTAAATATTTTAACATTAATTTCCGGTGAAGAAAAACAAGAATTATTATTATTAAGAAGGTTCACACTCGAGTCTGAAGGACATTCGACAGTGCGACGAAGCGAACGAGTAGGAGTCGAAAAACATAGACGCCCGGCTACCCGTTTCCCAGAGAAGGACTTGGTGAACGNCGAAAAACCTAGACGCCCGGCTCCCCGTTTCCCGGAGAAGGACCTGGTGAACTTTGGTTTCGACTTCTATCGTTGCCACGTCCACGATTATTTTCAAACCGACGGTTGTTGTTGTTGTTGTTGAAATGACGACGATAGTTGACATTCTCCGGCCTCTGTTCGACTTCAACATTTGATCCATTTGATAACCCACGCGTATTATTATTATTGCCAGTAGTTGAATGGAACGAAGGTGAATTGTCAAATTCTGATAAGACAGCCAAGAGTTCTGATGTAGTCTTTGGGGCACGTCCCTTAAGTGCAGTACATATATGTTCGTTAAAATGTTGGCAAATAACTTTAACTAGACGCGAAGGAGATATTGGAGGATCCAAGAAACGAGCTTTGGCAATCCATTGCATAGCATGTATGGAGAGTCCCGTGTTTGACAAATAACGGTATGGGCGTAAAACCTCATCATGTACTCGATCTTGAATAGCCTCAGACCAAAACTGGGAACGGAAGATGACTTTAAATTCATCATATGACTGTGGTGATGGAATTAATGCATCATACCAAAGTCTTGCAGTACGAACTAATCTTCGCTGGATACTATTAATCTTTTGTTGTTCAGTACAAATAATATTTTCAAAATATGAGTCAACTTGACTCAAAAATAACTCAGGGTGAATATCATTCACATGACCAGAAAATTCAGGTATAACATCATTAAACTTTTCAGAAAGCATAGACACAGATAAACGGCTATTCTCAAAATTAGATGTGTGGTTCAAATTAATGGGTAAATGAGTAGACGATGTGATAGGTGCTGGAGTAATAAAAGATGTAGGAGCAACTGTTGAGTTAGTCGGTACAGATATTATTTTTGACACTTTTTGTAGTTCAGCGCTCAACTGTTGTACTTTCGATTGAAGAGCATTATGGTCTAAACGAAGCTGATCCATAGCACTGCTACTTTGCTTTTGAAAATCTTCTAAGAAAGTACTGCGGGTATCCAAAATACAAAGAGACTCTTCGTTAGACGATACTTTTTCTTCCAACATACCAATCTGTTCAACAAGACTATCATGACGTTCTGCGCAAACTTTCTCCCTCTCGAACAATTTAGACTGAAGAAGATCTTTTTGGATATCTAAGCTCTTTTGAATTTCAGTAAATAGCTTTCTATTATCGTCATTAATCCTTTTAGTATCTTCATCTCTAGCTTTCATTCCCTTGAGAAGTTCAGATAACATTCCACCCATTTCAGATAAATTAATCTCTCTCTTCTTATCAGTCACTTCCTTGGCTTTAAGAGTATCCCGTAACTGCTGATTACTTTTATCACTTCTCTCATTCTTTTCATGAGCAGGAGATGAAGGAGGATCTATGCCCAGACGATCTGGAGGTTGAGTAGGACGCTTGCCAGCTCCTTCCGCCATGATGAAAATAAATAGAATAAGGTAAATGAAAAAAACGCGTTTGTATAAACAAACGCTAATCAAATATGAAATAAATAGTCGTAGACAGTAGGTCTAAGTACCTTACTGGTTACAACAAGAAGAAAAAACAAAACAAATCAAATTAAAGAATCAAAATTCTTTTATTAATAGAAGAAACAATTTAATTAATTCAAATGAAAAATTGACTATGATCAGATAAATTAGAAAAGTCAAATAAGACGAAAGAAAAAAAAAAAAATCAATCAATGTTAATGATCGCAACAAATTTGCTTCGGTTTTATTAACAATAGCCCGTAGGTATTATTAAACGCAGATAGGTTGGACGTGGGCTTGAGTCGTAACAGATGTTCGATCAAGCGAGCGTGCCCTATACAACGAGTCGTAATAAAACCTAATCAAATAATGATTGTGCTGAATATAGAAGAAAAAAATCTAGTAATTAGAGTTATATCCACAATCACTTAGATTTATAAAGAACTGATAAGATGGCGACACCAAATCAAAAATAAATTATGGCTTTACCCGATTATGCTATTATGCACAAAAGAATAATCACAAGAAAATAAAACTGGTTATGAAACCAAGATAGTGCAAACGCAGAAAATTTAAAGACGCAAATAGCGCGGAATTTAAAGTTTCCAAACTTTAAATATATATAGAGATGGCTATGGCCTGCCAAGACCGAAATCACCAGGTATCGAATTTAAATTTAAACAAATAAAAAAAATGTAAGAGCCTTAACTATCACATTTATCAAAATAATTGTTAATTTGCTAAAAAAGCAAAATTAACGAAAAAAAATAAAATAACATGCAAATAAAAAACATGCATTAAGACAAACTGCAGCAGTANAAAAAAATAAAATAACATGCAAATGAAAAACATGCATTAAGACAAACTGTAGCAGTAAACATATGGGCGCGCAACGCAAATATCGGCCGTGTCTCTTGACACGAAGTAGGCCGATGTAGAAGATATAAATAATAAAATTGGTTCTTGTCCGAATATGGACAATTTTTAAAATTTTTTAAAGACTAAGTTGAGAAAAAGTTGTACCAAAATTAAACCCAAAATTGTGTGACAACACAAGTAATCATAAATTCTATCAATAAAATTAATACGGCTAGTAATCAGAGCGATTATCATAATTAACTATCGAACCGCAGCAAAATTACGTTTTACAAAAAACAATAGTTAGAATTAAAATTCATGATCTATTGGTGTAATTAACGGTAGAAAAATATTAAACATTATCATTTATGGTAGCCGGAATGACCACCGTGCATTACCAAAATAAAATATTTAAATTAAATGTATTAATATACATAAAAGAAATTAATTACNATTAAATGTATTAATATACATAACAGAAATTAATTAATTGTACAACTAATTCTCCCCAAAAAACCCCGAATAATCATACTAAATAAGTGCACGGAATTAACCATCGTGACTTATAATTAAAGACTGACCTAAGAGAGGTTTGGGACAGCTGAAAAATAATAAACAAAAAAAATAAAAAAAAATCCTGTAAAGGGAACACCCTAAGAGAGAAATATAAGAATCAATTATAATACTAAAATATATCTTATAAACTAATTAACGAAGGTTTCATTAGTGTCTTCGATGGTGTCATGAATAATTGGCGTTTTCCCATCCGGTAAAAGCTCCATATCCAGCGACGATTCAAAAGCTCCATAATCCGGAAATAAAATCACAGTCGATCAATCAGCAACCTGAACCGCTACTATCAGTGAAACGCATATACACACAGGGAATAGGTCTTGACATCTAAAAAATATGGCACGGCAAATAACTATGTCCGACGGACAAAAATGAAAAAATGTTTTGAGCCATTTACTATAAACGAAATTAAGGTCAGCATACACAATCTACAACAACATCTCACTAAAATAATGATAATTTAAATTAAAAGCCAAATTATTATTATGAATCACCGAAATAAGGAGCAAAATTTTTCCCCGGAACTTGTGACTAAATGTTCCGACGTCTGACAAATACCCCCCACTCCGGTTATAAACAATAAAAAATTAATTATTAAAAGTTAAATTTTTACTAAAATAAATATGAATAGAATTATTGAAACAATGAAATTTAAAATTCGTGTGTAATAAAATTACACATCCTGGCAATGGTCACCATTCTGAGAGGTGACGACTTTGGCCACGCAACGGATTGTGGAGTCGCCACCCTCATGGCTCCCTTGCAAAAAGGAAAATGGGTCGCCAACCACTTAGGCGAGGGTCTTGATCAGAAAAGAACAACACCCGGACCATAAGTGGATTTAATAGAAAAAAAATTTAAAAAAAATAATAAGAAAACCAATAATATGCATTTCGATGAGATAAAGTGAATTAAAAAAAATTATTGATATATAAATATATACTAAAAATATAAAGTGTTGTTGTAGACTATAATACGCTGATACCTTGTAAATATATAACCAATATGTTTGTTTGATGTCACCAGTGGTGGACATACTTTAGTATGTCGAAGACCGTTACCTTAAAACTAGAGAAATATGATTTAAAAGGAAAAAAAAATAAGATACACGTGAATATTGAAGATATTCACGCAATAAAAAGATTTTTGTTGATTAAAAAAAATTAAGGGGACTTTATTAAATTATGACAATTAAGTTAATAGTGGACAAAACCCGAAGGCAAAAACCACTCTGCAAATAAAGGGACAAAAGAAAAAAAAAAAAAAAAAACAATTATTAAGACAAAAAAAATTAACCTACAACTTTTAAATATTACACGTGAAGTGTCTTCCGCATCGGAACAAGTCCGTGTACTCCGGGCGCGGCGGATAATTTTTGTAATCTGGCCGGCCGGACCGTACTTGGGTACTGCGGGAATAATATATATATATATATGTTAAATATACATGACACACCACTGACCAATAACCTTATAACAACAAACGCTAAAATGATTTATCTATCATAAAAAAAATAATTTTATGACAAAAAAAAAAAAAAAGAAAAAAGAAAGGCTCAATACATTATTAAATAAATAAAAAAAAAAACAACAATACGATACCCAGTCCCGGATGGGACTCATCCTAAGATGGGGATCTCGGCCCCGGAAATGGCCGACGCCTTGCTGGATTAGTACATTATGTTTATACAACGAACACGAGAAAAAAAACTATAATTGGCTGCACGCACACAGCAAAACAGACCACAACGGTGGTTCAAAGGGAAGAGAGACTACGAAAAAATTTCTACACACCGGGCGAGACACAACGACGACGAATCCGTTTGGGTCTTAATCGGCTTAACGATTTACAAAATATACAACAGATAAAAATATGAACAATATTAGAGTTATACAGGTATGGACAGTGGTGGCCAGTGTATGTGTCATATAGGGAACGATTGTTAAACTGATAAAGAATATTGTGTGTATAGCGTTCACCTTGACAGCAACAGTACAGTTTTCTGATTACACGGCCGGATATAACGTACGCGCGCCCATTAGCAAAGCAAAACAGTAATCTATCTATATCATACAATTCACATTTTGTCACGTTACAGAAACCCCCCTGAGAAAATTTGACGTAAAACGACATTATATGTTCCCTTAATCTTCCCATTATCAGGATCCGTGAAAAATATAACAAAATTAAATCATATATAGAAGAAGTTAAATTAATGATAACAAGTCAAAATATAAAAAAACTAGTGGAAGAAAATATTGATCTCTGTAAAACAAAGGTTATATAATATTTTAATATATTAAAATAGTAGACTAATGTTTATTATTATTTTATTTTTAAAAAGCATTACAAAAGCAAGTGATAGATTTACAAAGCTATGCTATAATATTAAGTAATAAATTGAGCGAAAAAAGTAAACAATGATTTTCTGTAAACTTAACTCTTATTTTTCAAAAAATATATCTCTTATTTACGTTCTGCTACTACTAGCTCGTAGTAATGACAAGCTATTAAGACTTATTATCCCTGAGCTTGAGATGGCCTTTTAAAAAGTACAATGAAAAAACTATGTGGCAAACGTAATATGTCTAAGTTTAAGTAAGTTTGAATATCATTCAGCTAAATATGGTTTTATTTTGGAATTTTAGTTATTTGTGTAATTGCTATAAGATTTATGAAAATTACTGTGGAAAGATATACCGGAAATCAATTAGATAAAACACAATATAATTTACCAAAAAAAAAATGCCTTGGATTACATAGATCAAAGACTTGATAAGTACCATTTACTTAAATTTGTTTTATTAACTATTTGTATTTATTTTTTAGTTTAATTTAAAATGAACATTATTTTGTCTAAGTTTATAATTTATAAATATATAATAAAAATTGATCACTTGTGGCTAATTAATTAAATAAAATGAAAACTATATTAAAAATATAATTAATTTAAAAAGTAAAAAATATTAAATTTAAAAGCCACAAAAAGTTACTAAAATGTAATGTATTTCAGAAACAATTTTATTATCATCACTAAACATATACCGTATGTGTTGTATGTAATATTTTTAATAGTTTTTAGTTTTTAAATTAATAATATTTTTAATATAGTTTTAATTTTATTTAATATAATTTATAAAATTAAATACAAAAATTTAAAACACAAATTTTTAACTT